TTTCCCTTTCAACCGTATATTCCTCATGGTCAATGACTTTCCTGTGCTCATTGCCTCCACCATTTTTCAAACTCTCATTGTGACAGGCTGGGGATGCTCTCTTTTCTTTCTTTTCTCACTTAATCCCCCACCTATTTCAAGGTTTGAAGCAAGTACCCCCATTTCCCGAAGCCTTATCTGACCTCTCAAGACCAGATGTGTCTCCTTTCTTGAACTTCTATTCATTTTATTTTTAAAAAAGTTATTGAGGGTCTGCTGAGTACATGGGCTAACTGCTAAGGGCACCACAACAACGAAGTCCCTGGCTGCAAGGAGATTACAGTCTAGTAACCATCAAGCCAATTAATTACTCTTTGTTTTCTCTCTTAGTTGTGTTTCCCCAACCAAATTCTTAAATAGCCAGGACTGTGTCTTAAGCATCTTTTGTAAAACCCATAGTTACTGTTAGACTACAGGGCCAGTAACAAGTTCTTACTAAGTACTTGTTGGTTATATGCAAGATGGGTAGCAGAATAAGACTAGAGATACATGTCAACTGCAATCCTTATCTAGAGATACAGAGAAGTATCTTTGGTTAAGGAAAAAAACACATCAAGAAATTAAAGAAACCACACCGTATTTGATTGGTATTTTACATGTTTAAACAGTAATTCAATTTAACTTGGCAAATTAACTCAATTTTTTTCCTTTTTTTTGGCTATGCTGCGCAGCATGCGTGATCACACTTCCCTGACCAGGGATTGAACCCACGCCCCCTGCAGTGGAAGCACGGAGTCCCAACCACTGGACCACCAGGGGAAGTCCCTAATTTTTTAAAACAATTATTGATGAGTCATTCTCCAAATTCCATAGTCACAAAATAATAGTCACATTTTAAGACTAAAGAACTAATATAGAGAAATGATTTATAGCACAATTAATAATTTGAAGGTATTATTTGGAATTTCCTAAGAGATTTTACAAGATAGAAATAGAAGTAAATCGAGAAGCATCAAATGCAAATTTTTAGATAAAACCATTCTGTCCTATTAAGAGTATTGCTAGGATCCAAACACACAAGACAACCATGCCATCCTCCCAGCAAGGATCTGCTGGAACCAGGGACAGAGTGGGCTCAGGTAATACCAATATGTCCTTTCTAAGTGTCCCCAGGAAAAAGTCTTTTGTGAATCAGAAGTGGAGGAATCTCATTTCTCCAAAATGTAAAACTATTTTTGATATAAGGGAAAATAGGGAGATATTTCACTCTTCCAAGCCTTAAATGAGTATAGTTTTGATTCTTTGTTCAGGGGGCCTAGTATGGATCTCAACTTAGATGTCCAGTTCAAGGAATGTTATGTCACTCAAGCCCAGAAGGGAGATTCACGTGCTGAACAGAAGCTCAAGAATTCACAGTCAAATGTTAGTCCCAGACACATGTTTACTGTCAAACTTAATTTCTCAAAAAATTCTTACTCACCTGCCAGAATATGCTGTCTATTGTGTTTCCAAGAAAACCATCGCGACCTTCTGAAGACACCAGTTTGGGGCCAAGAATTGTCATGAACTCATCAAAATCCACCTGACCATCCCCTGGAAGAAGAAGATATAAATACGAGTTAAAAAGTAGCTGAAATTGACCTACTGTACCCAATGAAATAAACATCTCCATGCTTTTCTCCATGGCATGACCTCAATCAATGAAGAGCTGAAACTATTTCTGAAAACTGGGCTTCATTCTTAAAATACCAAAAGAAACACAAGAAATTCGCAACTGTTAGTACCTCTGATACCACATATTCCTAATCATTTGTCAGTATTTGTGTCTAAATGCCCAACCAACACCTCCCACTTAAATGGCCACAACTTCACACCTGCTGTACCTGGACCCCAAATTGCCCAGCTGTACAGGAGAGAAATCACATCTTCATCCCTATCTCTTCCTTCATCCTTGCCAATCACACATAAATTTAAGTCACCAAGTCTTACTGATTTCACTTCTTAAATACCTGTGGCTGCTCTACCTTTTTTGTTAATCCAATTGCTAGTCCATTTCCAAAAAGACTGTGGTGGGAAAATGCTTCCAAGAATGAATGTCCCTAGTTATAATTACAATGTTACTAGTAAAATGGTTTTTGCCCTCATACTCTCACCTCCACACTCTTTTCCAGACAGCTGGGTTTACTTCCCCAAAGCATATCTGACAGTGCTTTATAAACTTCAAAGGCATCTTTGACCAAAAATAAGGAAACCACCTCAGGGTGGTATTCAAGTCCCACTATTCCTTTTGACACACTTTGCTTCCCACCTCTGCACAAAATGCCATATGCTCTTTCAGAGCTCCGTACCTCTGTGCATGCTGTTCCCTCCATCCGGGATGCCCTTCCCCATTTGTCTACCTGGTGGTCTCTAACTTGTTCTATACAATGGAGCTTAAATATCATGTTCTCTTTTTGTATTTTTCCTGACCCTTCCTCATCTCACTAGACAGAGTTGGGCACTTTCTTCTGTCCCTTTTACTAATTGAGTGTGCATCTATTTAGAACAGATCACCCAATATCTCAGCCACTAATCTGCACACCTATCTCCCACCTGGATTGTGAGCTCTGCAAGGCCAGGGGACCCAGTCTGAAACTTCTTTATATCTGACACCATGGTAGGTGCTCAATATGCACTTAGAGAATGAATGACGTCTCTTGCTTGTTTGTTTTTCCTTTGCTCAGTTCAACATGCATTGGATCTTTCATACTAGAGCTGACACTGACCAAAGGTGAACTTGAGCCAAATTAGACAAAATGAGACCTTCAGGGTATTGTCTGAGCCTCAGTGACTCATCAGTGTGGCATTCTGCACCCTTAGGATGGCTCAGGAGGGTGTCACCACCAAGAGCTCACCACATCTTGACCCCAGGCAGGGAGGACAGTCCAGGTGTCTGCATACATGTTTGCCAAAGTGCAGACACATCAATCCACTCCTGGAGTGCAATCGCCTTCCAAGAACCTTCATTGGAAACCTATTTCCAAAAGTCAAGCAGACGTCATCATCAAGACGTCAATAATTCTGAACAGACAGTCCAGGAACAGATCCTAGTGTAGATAAAACTTCCCAGAGGACAGGGGAAGCATGACAAGCCAGTAGGATGGACTACTGAGAGGAAATTGATGTATCTCTCACCTGTCAGCAAGACGAAAGGATCCAAAATTTCACCTTGGCTGGTCATCATAAGATGGCTAATTCAAGCGACAATGAGTTAGCATCTTGCCTTTCAAATGAGCAAATACTTATAAAAAAGAATACTGCCCAGTGCTGGCAGAGATGCAGATAAGAGATGGACTCTCTGACGCATCTCTGGGTATATTCACCCAGATATTGACTAGCAGTGTTCAAGATGCTGTAACATTCTGGTTCTTTTGTACCTAACAACTTCACTTTTAAAGAAAAAGACAAAGCAAGGAAATGATCTTAAATGCAGACCAAGATGTTTGCCCAAAGATAAGTCATCCAGTATTTGTGAAAGTGGAAAGTTGGCAGCTGGAGGAAGATGAGAATGGCCCAGTCTTGCTGGCATTCGTACTGAGCGAGAACCATGAGGCTCGGACAACCGCGCTTGTTATATACACGCGCTAACTCCCAGCTCACCCCAAGCCACTCCCACTAGTCAAAGCTGGTTCTGGATGGCCAGAAAGTCTCAGGGCAGAGGGTGCATTCTCAAGAGAGAGAGCATCACCTTCCATGAGATGGAAAGTGATTCTTAGGGGACCAAAAATAACTTAGATATTATGGTTTGTGGCCCTCCTAACATCACAGTGTATAAACAGATATCCATACAGTATATCTGTTCAATTATAATAAAATGCCATGGGGTTAGGGCAACTAGGGAAACAAGTTTCTTAAAAGGCACCTGAGTGGGGGAGTGGCAGAACAAGAAGGAGGAGCAGGACAAGAGGAAGAGGAAGAGGAAGTAGGTCAAGAAACACTGGACGAGATAATGTCCCAGGTACTACGGCTCTCCTTCCGGGGCCCTCTCTCTGGGATGTTGGTCTATTAGCAGTGGGTGTCATCCCAAGTGTCTGTCACCCAGGTGAGGTCCAACAGTTCATAAAAGTTTAGAAGCTCGAGGGTGTGCGGAGATGGAGACAACCTAAGTGTCCATCATTGGATGAATGGATAAAGAAGATGTGGCGCATATAGACAATGGAATATTACTCAGCCATAAAAAGAAACGAAATTGAGCTATTTGTAATGAGGTGGATAGACCCAGAGTCTGTCATACAGAGTGAAGTAAGTCAGAAAGAGAAAAACAAATACCATATGCTAACACATATATACGGAATCTAAGAAAAAACAATGTCATGAAGAACCTAGGGGTAAGACAGGAATAAAGACACAGACCTACTGGAGAATGGACTTGAGGATATGGGGAGGGGGAAGGGTAAGCTGTGACAAAGCGAGAGAGTGGCATGGACAAATATACACTACCAAACGTAAGGTAGATAGCTAGTGGGAAGCAGCCGCATAGCACAGGGAGGTCAGCTCGGTGCTTTGTGACCACCTAGAGGGGTGGGATAGGGAGGGTGGGAGGGAGACAGATATGGGAACATA